TCAGCGGCATAGTAAGTATTTCTGACAGCTGTCTGGAGGCGCTTGCTTATCATTTCATCACCTGTAATAATTCTTTAAGTATGGACAATAATTTATACCTTGTCTACTTCGATCTACGTAGTCTCGAGGATGCATGATTGTTGATGAAACGTGCCTGACCTTGGTTGCCAAGATTAAATGATCTGAACATGAAAACCATAAACTTTAGCAAGCATGACAACGCAATATTTTCTAATAGGAATGACTCAATAATTATCCCAAATTATTTTCATAAACCCTTGCCATCTCGATTATTTGTTTTGAAGCATTATTTTATCTAATATATAATCCATTATAGCAACTCTATTGGATAACCAAATTAAATTTCATCACAACCCAGAGAAATTGCATTAAATAAGGTTTAATAATAATAATCTATTTTTGATATCTAACTCACTGAATCCGAGAAATACCACTGCAATCCAAGTCAACCTTGAAATCAAGGTCACGATTACCAGGAAAACAACAACCAAAACAGCTTGTGGGGACCGTAAACCGAAGACATGCAAATAGGAGGAGACTTGTACTGTTCCCCTGTTATATTTTCCTGTTGCAGCGGCATTTAAAATACCGTTTTGGATGAGCTTTATAGTGAGCAAGCATTTTGATTCAAGTGATAGATTTATTAGCCATATACTGTCAAAGGAATAACACTGCCCGCATGCCCATCTGAATAAATCAGTGTCTCATTCGAGTACGTATTTCAAATGTATGATTCTTTGTGCACGCCACCACATATAAAAATAGTATGATACCTTATTTTGTTCATATCTTGGTCAACCGAACAAATATTATTGCTTACTTGAATAATTACCTGTCACATTAGGATTTAATCTAATCCATTTGTTTTATATTTGGTAAATATACATTTCTTGTTTTGTTCCAAGGCTTAACGTTTTCCTCACTGTAAATTGTCGATTGTGCTGAAAATGCAACCTATTGGGTGCATACACAAAGCTTGATTTGATTTGACTACAGAAAATTGCAGACAGAACCTTGCGGCTCCTAAGCTGGGAGTTCTCCTGGAAAAACAATTTGATGAATTGGTACTCGGAATCGGAATAATTAGCAGTCTAACGGAACCCATACAGGCCACTACCAAACCCAGACCTGTCGGTAAATCCCATGCGCAAGTCATTACCTATTCTCACAGCCGAACAACAAAAGTAGATGTCACCGCGGAAATTCTCCTGGCGAGAGTTAAAAAACAATCAAACTACCCACACTTGGGATAAATACATCCTTGTGAGAAACTTATTTGCGAATCCGTGTGAGAGGGCAATCAGAGGTACCAACAAACGTTGACTGCAGACATAGTTTAATTGCAGCTCTCATGTAGTCTACATTTTCTTCCATACCTCATGTATTTTATTTGTGAGATTGGCGTTGCATAAAATTCATCTCCACGTAGGCAACATCAATCCATACACACTGAAATCCTTTGCAAATCACAGATCTGAAGGAATTGCTCATTTGTACCAAATTATGTTCCATAAGATGGTGTGAATCCTCAGCCCCGGAAACAGGGCATCATGTCACTCATTTACAAAGGTAGCTGCAGAAGTGATTCCGCGAACTACCGTCCAGTTGCACGTTTTCTTGTTCTGTCAAAATGAATGGAATCAATTGTTGCCGATGCTCTGATGGCGTATTTCGAGAATTGTACAATACTGTCATCAGTAAACACGGGTTTTGACGAAAACTGTATTTTACTTGCCCTGTATAAGTGAAATATAACAATCGATACCGGAGGGGGGACCGGTTGTGATCTAGTTGGACTTTACGAAGATATTTGACAGAATCAAACACCTAAATACTACGGTAACCTCCATCTCCTTCACAAACGCAGTTTTCGAGATTTGCTCGTTGGTTGAATTGAATAATCAGCATTTATGAACTGGTCACATGTTTGAGGCTCACGCATTGAAGATGTCGAAACAGTAAAGGCATTAAAGTAGCCACATTTTTGCATAGCACTGAAGGAAGAGTTTGACGCAGCCCAGTAATGGTATACCGTCAGTGAGATCAGATTCAATGTCATAAAATGTAATATTATATCCTCGTGCCTCAATGATCGTGAACAATCTAATCACTTGTTTGGTATACTATTCGCAGATGGAAGGTTCGCTTAAACTGATTCTCCGGGAGAGTCAGCCAGATTGCTGGCATCAATCTCCTCCGGTGTCACTATTTGTTCACCCCGGAGCTCTAATCCATTCTAACTTGATTTTGCTTCAGCTAAAGATTGGTTCTAGTCGTGGCTCGATGAAACAATGAACCGAACAATAGATTGTGTGATTCAGCGAAAGTTTTTCTGTCATTCATGTATTGCTTATAATAAGAAGCTTGGAAAGCCATCCAATTTGCCCATATTGATAATAATCTAGACTTCATGGGTATCCTAAGTATATACTTTGCAATAGTAGATGCCAGTTCCTTCGGATTTGGTAGCTTTCGGTGATTGTTGGGTGATTATATTTGCATGATTCAATTTGCATGGGGGAACTTCGTCGAGTTTACAGAAAATGGAGCGTGAACTAAAAAGCTAGAAAGCACTGTACGCCTGCTTTGACTTAGTTGATTCTAGTGGGTACAACGTTTGCGGTTTGCCTCTGAAGTCCCGGGTTCGATCCCCATTTGGTTTAATGGACTCGCACTGCTCAACAGATCTAAACAGGTCGAAACAGTTGCCGCATGCTTGCTAGCTTCTCAGTTCACGCTTCATTTGTTCTATACACGACGAAATCCCTCCGTGAGATTTTGTATCACAATCTTGTTCCTTGCCGGTCATGTGATATCTTCTAATTTTGTCTCAAGTCAAACACAACTCTGTCTGTGTTATACCGCCCTATTACGCAATTTCCCGCTGTTCTATCGACCATGTACGTACGTAGCTCTGTATCTCAAAGTCGAATTCATAAATTATGTGTCTGGTCTCGCGGATGCATTATGTGCACATGTTTGGTATGTGTGTTCAAATAGGGTGAAATGGTCGATCTGAGTCGTTTATGAAACAAGACATTCAGTTAGAACAACATATTAGTATAATTGGGGATGAGAAGTGGCTAATCCCGTATAACTATTACGGTCCAAACGAACATTAACTACGATCAAGGGTTGAGGCCATACTGAGGATTTCTCACCTTAGAAAGAAAGATCTGTTGATCACTCTCTGGCTCTGTCTTGTCAAGCAATTATTCTAATTCGACTATGGAACTGAGCTGTATTTTGAAATCGGAGGCTGTCGAGGTGTGGCGAACTGATTATGAAATTTCACTTGCTCTCTTGTATTCCCTGTTCGAACAACTTTCGTGCCCGCTTGCTCTGGTACTTTACGCATGCATGACAATCTGACGATCCAGGCACAGTTTCTATCCACATTGTCTTCGCAACTTTGGATGCATGATTTAGCCACACAATAATCGCGCACATGTTTCAATAAATTCAATAATACGGTGCAAAGTTAATTACTCATCATCCCGTAATTGTTCATCGTTTGATTCGGAAATTCTATCGGCGAGACAGATGACCTGACACATTTTATACCAAATCTGCTCACCGGTCAGACATGCTCAGCTTTCTTGAAAAATTACAAACCGTCTGCCCCATCAGATGTTTGTAATGACTAATCGAAACTGAATTGACTTTGGGCAACTCCTTCTGACCCCGTCTTCCCTCTCCATGACCTAGCATAGCGTACAGTGAACTGTCTCGATCTCTCGATGAAGTTGCGCAATATTTTTTCTCTATATAGCGTTTTATTCTCATAGGGAAGACTTCGAGAATGCAGCTACACCGAACACCTTAAACAAAAATGACCCGTTGATGATGATGATAACCATAATAATCACCATCATGGTAATTTGACGAGAATTGATTCGTTTATTTTGGTCTTAAAAGTCAAAAACTATTAGGAATGAAAAAGGATTTGGAAAATCGCACACACACACACATCGATAAGTATGCGAAATAAACGTTTACAATATTTCATGTGAGTAATGGAGGATTTGGTTAAATTTCAAATATGAATTCGTCGTGTATATAGCAAATGAAGCGTGAATTGAAAAGCTCGGAAGCACTGG